TCAATCATTACCTCGAACCCGACTGCAATATCCACATCCGATTCAACGTCTCAGCGTTACAGATACTACGCGCCCGTTAACCCATACGAATAATGCGGGCGAGCATGCGTTACGAAGGAAGACACCCAACGGGACACTGGCGGCTGGATACGATGGGACCCCCGGAGATACTACCATTCAGCCCCCAGCGAGCAAGCATATTCTGGTGTCGCCTCTCGAGTCCAGTCATATGATCCCTCAACAAGCTGGATTTGCGTTGGATACATGGCAGCAGCCCGGTCTGGATCGCGCCTCATCCGGAAAGCAGCTGAACTTTCCACCTGTCTACAAAAATGAAGCGACGCGGGGAAACGCGGCTCCCGGGGAGATGGGCCAAGGGATCCATGGGGCAAGCTGGGTTCGTTCGTTGAACTACGTGCCTGGAATTGATTCAGTGCTGAACCAGACCTTGCCGATGCAACCCTCACAACAGCGGTTCTACTGGCACAATGGTGCCTATATTCCTACGGTGCTCCCCGCTACATTGCAGCCGTGCGTTGGTCCCACAGCTTCAGCAGGAACCGGCCCGTACGGACCGTACTGGCCCGACGGGGCCTACATTCCCTATCGACCAGCAGCATTTCGCGATACTCGTTTTCATACCCCAAGTCCGTTTCTGAAGGCCGTCAATCCCTCTAGTCTACAATTCCTCGATGCTGTTCAACCTCCCTTGAATCGACCGGGGTTATCAGCAGCTAGCCATCCTGACTCGAGTCTAGCTTGGAATTCTACCCCGACGGGGATGCTCAATGCTGAGTTACCCGTGCAGAACAACTTTCCCCGACGCCACTCGGAACAGAAGACTCTGGACACCTCGCAGCATCAACTGGTGCTCCCGTTCCATACCCGTCAAACCACCTCGAGCTGTGGTTTCCCGTCACGACTGAGTCACGATACACCGTCATGGCCAGATTCTGCGGGCAATCAGGGACCCCAGAACATGGACCCTGTAGGTAGCTCACGTGCAGCGAACGCAGAGTTCAAAGAAAAGGTGTTGACATGGGCCCATGGGGTCTACGTGGATCTTCTCGCATCTATACACCAGGCCCGACGAAACAGCATCTCCAATTCTGCCACTGAGGGCCCGAGTCAACGGCTCCTGAAGCCGAGCATATACCCCAAGCCTCCTCGTCAGCCCGGACTTGACTTCTCCTCAAGCGCCGTTTGTAGTGACCTTTCTCGCCACAACAGCTTTCCACCTGCCCATTTTGATTACCAGGCGTCAAGACCTGACGTTCAGATGCTCGATCGAATTCGTCATACCAGTCGATTTTCTGCTACTCCCTCTGCCTCTCGTTTTGGTGCGCCGTCCCTCAATGAGGGCTCCACGACTGCCAATGCTGTATCGTCTCTCGAGATGCTATCGCATCTCTGTATGGAAAGTGGCTGGGAATGGATCGACGGCATGCTTCTCGGAGGCTGCCTGGCTTATGGTCTCGGTGACTATAATAAGGCTACACGGTGGTATTCGCGGATCATCGCCCGAGATTCTACGTGAGTTTCCTCCATGATAGCTGATAATCAGACCGTTAACATTAGACCAGACACGTGGAGGCGATCTCCAACCTTGCTGCTACACTTCTAGCGCTTGATCGCCGGGACGAAGCCATGCAACATTGGCTTCGCGCTGTGAAACTACGCCCAAGCTATTTCGAAGCCGTGGAGCATTTGATTGGCCTTTTGTGCAGCAGTCAACGGGGCAAGGAGGCGGTAAACATTATCGAATTTGTGCAAATTTCTCTACGTTCTTCTCCTGGTGGAGATTGTTTCAAAGCGGATGAGCATGCGAGCGAGACGGAAAGCGATGCTGAAAGTAGAGCTTCCAGCGCGTCAGACTTGGGCTCGTACGAAAAAGCTACATTCGATTATGACGATGATTTTAGTCGATCTGTATCCACGATCCGTGGTCCAGCTGATGCGAAAACCGCTGGGTTTGGCTCGAGTGGATACTCCATACCCGGCTGCGACAATGGACGGATACTGGCTCTGGTCCACGCTAAAGGAAACATGCTTTATGCATTGGGGGACAACGCGGGAGCTGCGGCAGCGTTTGAGGACGCAATCCTAATTGCCGCGGGAAGAAGACGCCATGGGATCCAGAACCTGATCAAGCAGATATTTTCGGCCTTTATGCACAGTGACAATCGTGCTCAACCCGCCGGAGAACCTCAAGGGCCCCAGGAAAGTATCCTTCTGTATCCCGATCAAGCGCTTCAGACCTCGAAGTTGGTCTTTGCTCCGTGTGGAACTCCGCCGGGCATCAAATTTGTGGCTGAAGGTTTAGCGAGGAAGGCGGCTATCTCTACGACGAGCAACTCATTACTTTCTCTCGCCAAGATCTACCAAGACGGCATGTCCAACATCTCGTCCTCGGGGGTCCCGAAAGCTGCCCCAGGAGTTCGGGACATTCTGGCGCTTTACTACCTTTCCTTGTCTCTTCAGCCCAGTCCGTCGACTGCGAACAATGTGGGGATTCTTTTGGCAGGGATTCACAACAGAGTCCCGAAAAAGGGGCTTCCACGCTCCAGCGGGGAAATGCAACATCCCGAGATTCCTGGCGTTGTTCCCGGGACAGGAATATCGTTGGCCTTGGCGTACTACAATTATGGACTGCACCTGGATTCGCGGCATGCGCACCTCTATACAAACCTCGGAAGTCTACTGAAGGATATAGGCCAGCTACAAGCGGCGATTCGGATGTACGAACAGGCGGTTCAGTGCGACGGTAATTTTGATATTGCTTTGGCCAATCTGGCCAATGCAGTCAAGGATGCTGGACGTGTCAATGACGCTATCGTCTACTACAAGCGGGCTGTCAAGGTGAATCCGGAATTTGCAGAGGCTGTGTGTGGTCTCGCCAACGCCCTCAACTCTGTCTGCAACTGGGTTGGTCGTGGTGGCGTAGGCAACGGCATCGGCTTTAGAGATCGGTGGCATGTCGATGAGCAAGGGATGCTTCGGGACGCATATAGCACTGAGACCGGTGCAGGCTGGATCAAACGGGTGGTCGACATCGTCGACCGACAACTTAGAGAAGGAGAGTCATGGGGTCAGGGCTTGCTGACCCCGAATGCAGCCCAACAACTATGCGCCCAGCTGGTTCCCGCGATGAAGATCCGCTATCAGACAGCGTCTAGTTCACTGGCGGTTATCCTTCAGTCCTGGGCTGGTCAGCGATGGGAGGGAGCAAGGGTGGTACGACTCGTGGAGCGCGCCATCAGGTCTATCACTTGGCAATGGTACCAGGATCGCTACGTATATGGCAAAGAGTACCCCTTATCTAAATATCGGCGGCCACAGTTGCCCTCCGGGTTGACGGCGCCGAATGCGCCCACTGTGTTGCCTTTCCACACATTTACCTGCCCGCTCTCAGCAAAGCAGATCCGGCAGATTTCGCAGCGGAACGGTCTCCGCATATCTTGTTCGACGTTACGCTCGCCTTGGCTTCCAGCCACAGTCTACCCGCCCCCTCCGCCCCCGAGCCCCTACTTGAAAGTCGGATATGTGTCATCTGATTTTAACAATCACCCTCTTGCGCATTTGATGCAGTCTGTCTTTGGTCTACATAATCCCTCACGTGTCAAGGCTTACTGCTACGCCACCACGGCCAGTGACCGGTCGGTCCATCGGCAGCAGATTGAGAAAGAGGCTCCAGTATTCTACGATGCTAGTGGGTGGTCTGTTGACGTTCTCGTGAAGCAGATCGTTGAAGATGGTATTCATATTCTGGTCAACCTGAACGGCTACACTCGCGGTGCCCGGAACGAAGTGTTTGCTGCCAGACCGGCTCCCATTCATATGTCATTCATGGGATTCGCAGGTACACTGGGAGCTGAGTGGTGTGATTATATCCTGGCAGACGAAATCTCGATACCACCGGAGACATTAGCGCCGGGTCGTCGCAATGTGCGCATCGAGGACCGACTACTGGAGGAAGACCATGGCGAGGACCTCGAAGACTGGGTTTACGGGGAAAAGCTGGTCTATACACGGGACACCTTTTTCTGCTGTGATCACCGGCAAAGTGCGCCCGATGCTCAAGACCCGCAGATCGTATGGGAACAGGAGCAGAGTCGAAGATGGCGGATGCGCAAGGAGTTGTTCCCCAATCTCAGTGACGACACTATCATCCTCGGCAACTTCAACCAGCTTTATAAGGTAGGTTTTCTTTCTGGAATCTTTGACTTTACGCCCCGCTAACAAGGTTTAGATTGAACCCACAACTTTTCGCACCTGGCTGCGAATCCTCGCTCATGTTCCCAACGCCGTCCTCTGGCTCCTTCGTTTTCCCGACCTTGGCGAACGCAATCTCAAGGAAACGGCGATCGCATGGGCGGGCGAGGAGACCGCCTCCCGAATCATCTTCACCGATGTCGCCCCAAAGAACATGCATATCGCCCGTGCTAGAGTCTTGGACCTGTTTTTGGATACCCCGGAATGTAACGCCCACACCACGGCCACGGACGTCCTTTGGAGCGGTACCCCGCTCTTGACTCTCCCTCGTTATAAATACAAGATGTGCTCCCGCATGGCCAGCAGTATCCTCAGCAGCGCCCTTCCAGACAGCGACGCCGGCCGCGCCGCTCGGGAGGAGTTGATTGCCACCTCGGATGAGGACTATGAGAACAAGGCCATCCGCCTATGCCTCAGCTTGAATGCTCGTCGTACTGCTTCTACCGAGACATCGCCGACAGGTCGACTCTCCGAGATACGGAAGATGCTATTCCAGGAACGCTGGAAAGGCCGACTGTTCGATACGGCGCGATGGGTGCGGGATCTCGAAGACGCATATGACCGCGTCTGGCAGCGATGGGTGACCGGCGAAGAAGGCGATATTTGGTTATGATCTAACCGTCTGTGTGTGCAATATACCAAGCCGTGCAAACTCTCTCTGTCTTCCTGAATATACCCCTTTGAGCGATTTCTTTTTTGTTGTTTTTTTCTATTGGCTACATGGTACATGTCAGGGATCTTCAATTTTGCGTTAATTTGTCGTCTTGGTCTGTGGAGATATAATTTCGTCATTGACGCCTGATCTATTGATCATTGTCTTGGGGTTCGAGGTGTTTTGCCAAGATGGTTCGAGATGTAGGCTTACGACATGTGCATATTATTACTCTAATCTTCTTTTCTTTGATGAAGTCATGGTCGGGTCGTTGTTCTTTGTATGTGCCTCGGTTTCTACCGCTTTGGAGTTACATACCAGTGTCTACATCTCTGTTGTTATGCCGGCGGGACCTACATCTGGGGTTCTCTCTACCTACTTGGATCATGGAGTTGGCGTTAGCGTTGAGCTTTTCGATATCTGTTTGAGCCTATCACCCCTCGGAATTTCAAGGAGGGCGAAGCCGCATAGAGGATAATTCCGGTGGATGTGTTTGTTTTCTTGATACCTATCTGATAGAAGATATGCGATATGAAGAGATCCTCCCAAGCATGCTGTCGCTCACTCGAGGTATGCAATCCCTTCAGGGAAGGGAGATATGATAGGGGTCCTCGGTAAGAAGATGACAGTGACTGGCTGTAAACAGGCAAGATAACCCCGCTTAGAGATTACTGGGCTCGGTGCACACACAGCACATGAACCCCCTAGGGAGTGGCAATGAACAGTCCAGAGGGAAGTAGACTGTGAAGTGGAATGTTCGCCTGGGACGAAGACCTCAGGCATCAATCCAGCGTACCCTGCCTGCCTTGCCGGCTCAATTACAACTCAGTGGCATAGCACAAATTTTGTTAGAAGTTGAAGAATTGTCCCATAATCAGGTTTGTTCACGGAATGCGACCTACGCAGACTATCTCTGTATTCAGACCTAGCTACCTGAGCCATGATTTCTATCTTTGGGCCTTCCAATCATAAAGTAAAGTCTTTAGCGAGTTGTAATTGAGCCCGGCCAGGGATTGTACAGTACACATACCCTGCTTAAGTAGAAGTAGTAGTAGTAGTAGTAGTAGTAGTAGTAGTAGTAGTAGTAGTAGTAGTAGTAGTAGTAGTAGTAGTAGTAGTAGTAGTAGTGGTAGTAGTAGTAGTAGTAGTAGTAGTAGTAGTAGTAGTAGTAGTAGTAGTAGTAGTAGTAGTAGTAGTAGTAGTAGTAGTAGTAGTAGTAGTAGT